AAACAATGACTCTCATACCTTTACAACTTACCCACTCTACTCCCATTTTTTATAATTTAAACATAATATTTCTTATTTCTAATGAAAATAGATACAATGCTAAAAGCACTGATTTGCTAGGTTGGAATGGAATAATACTTGGCACCATTATCACAAATGGTGAAAATTAATAACTCACTAATTTTATTGGTTGCTTGGTGAATTGTCAATCTTCAATTTTTTGAAAGAAAAATTTGTACTTTAACAATTTAAACGCATGTGGCTGTGGATGGTTGTAAATAACCCTAGTTTCAAAATGTACGTATATAATAATATCATAAGCACCTTGCCCCTTGAAGTTGTAAGAAATCTCCTAAATGAGTTCTTAGTCGTTCCATGCTGGCAAGGCATATTTAACCCCCAAAAAATAGCTGGCAAGGCACATACAGCTAACTAAAGTACAATTTACCTTATTTTTAAATGGCCTGGATGGTGCATACCCTACCCTAATAGTAATAGCTTGTTTGGTTTGAGAAAAATGAGGGATAGAGAAGGGATGGGCAAGGAAGGTGACCTTATTTCAACTAATCAAATTAAATCATTAGACCAACAGAATAATTTGATTGGTTATAATAAGTTCCCATCCTTTCCCCACTCCCTTCAAACTAAATAGGCTATAAAGTGGAAAAAAAATGTAGAGGGCACAATAAAGAGTATAAACAAATTAGTATGTACACTTTCCTGCTAGCTTTTCCTAAACAAATGAAGACATGAAAAGAAAATTTTCCCCAGCCCCTTTCTCTTGAACATGGGCAATTTTGGGTGAGGGGTTCACAAATCACAACTAAACTGCAGTTCTCCCCACCCACAATGGACCCAGCAACCAAATAATCAAATGTACTTCTTACCTGCTGCAGGTATAGCTCCATCACAGCCTTTTCAGATAATTCAATAACAGGTAAATCTACTAAAATGAAATAATTAAATCATGCATACTGGCACTTTATATGATGAACAAAAATGTACTACAAATTATAGGACAATTTCAGTAAAGAATAAAAGATGAGGACTACAAATGCAGATATCTAATTTCCTACAAGATGGAAGGTGTTGAATTTAATGATAGCCAAAAAGAACTCATAAATAAAGTGACCTTTATCCCACAATCCCTTGTTGCTGGGCAGACCACTAGTTTCTTATACACTGTAACCCTACTATAGAATCAAATATAACCATGAATGAACAGGAACTGCTCCAAGTATGTGGAATGAATCAAGTTTTTGATTTCAACCGGTTAAGACATCATTGGTGATCAGTCAGTTCAACATCATTCAATCGTTTAGAGGTTCTGCCTCAGTGTCCCTTTCCTTCATTCCTGTCCAAGATTCAGCCTCTGGAACAAACACAAAGATTGTTAACCATGAAGGCAAGTTAAGAACAGGCTTTGGACCAGAAAAATCAAGTTACATGCTTACAGACCACATAAAATTAAGAAACTTAGTTCTAAGTAGTTGTAATTATGCATTTGAAATGAAAAGAACAACTAAGCAGTATGAACAGTTGTACATACTTGGTTTGTCTGAGATCACCATTAGCCGCCTTTGCAAAATAGATGCCACAAAGAGGAAAATTGAGCACATGCCAAACATGACAGTGATTGGGAAAGCATTGACCTTTAAAGCAAAACCAAAACAAATGGTTAGTAACAAAGGGTATTTTTTTCTCTTTTCCCTTTTAGGTTCTCTTCTAGGGAAGGGAATAAAGAAATTGTAACTGAGTTTAGCTTGCTTAGGTGATTCACATTGGATTCTACTTGTTAAGCCCATATGGATCAAGTAATGTATTAGAGTAAAGCCTGGGGCATACATTGTACAGCACGACACACACAAAGAGATTGAGAGGAATGCGGAAGAAGTTCATAATGGTGCTTCTAGCCTCCTCAGGAATATACTGGGACCTCATCTTCATAATGGATGGCCAGAATATTCCTACACAAGCCTCGAAGGTGCAGAACCCAAGAAGCTGGATGCAACCTGCAAAGGAGATGCTTCCACCTCTAACTTTAGAAGGTGCTACGAAGAACTGTTCCAAAATCAATCAAGTTAGGGATGACTTAAATATTATATATAAATTAAGTGAGAGGCAGAAAAAATTAGAGTGCAGTCAGAACATACAGTGGTTATGATTGGCAGGAGGAGAGAGGCAGCAGAGACCATGAATACAATCTGCATGTAGCTCTCTACCCTGGGTGATGAACGGGCCATCAACCGAGATGCTAGTGAACTTCCCAACATTGAAGCCAACATGAATGTAGCAAAAATAAAACCATGAGGAATCTCTTCATCATTAGGACTCAAAGCAGGAGTCCAGAGGAACACGAAGGTATACATTGAACCCTCAAAAAGAGACTGGATAGCACCCAGCAAAGCAATTTTTTCATCTGAAGCACATGAAAGATCAGAATCGTCATATAAATGAGGTGGACAAGACAGAACTGACTAAGGAAATAAATGCACTAATTATAGATGAGAAATAAACAGAAAAGAAACAAGATGCTAACTTTGCTGGAAAAATACAACCCTAATTAATGCATTGAGTGTAAAGCATTGAAACTGCACCAGATGCTATAGCTACAGCAGCACCCCTGAATTGAGTAAGAAGGTCCTTGCTTTCTGAAGGATCTCCATAATTTTCAGTCCATGATGATAAGATAACGGCCATCCCAAAAGCAAGAAAGCATGAAGCGGCATCAAAAGGGGCAACAGGTCCAAGAGAAAGGGTATCCACAAGTAGATTACCAAACAAGCCAGACAAAATGGCAACAAGACCATTCCCAAGAAATATTGCCTTCGAAAATGTTAGTGATAACCACTGTTGGTCAAAGCCCCTCTGCACAAAAATGGACAACCAAAAGTCTTAACCACCAAGATACAAGATAATTTAAAGCATTAACATCATTTTATCAATAAGAACTAAGGCACAAAAGCAATGTCTCACCTTGTTGTGTTCAGCAACAAGCCAGGATTCGAAAGCTGAAAATAGCAGAGAAGTGGCAATGCCTCCCAATACACGGCCTATCATCAACACTTTGTACTGAGGAGAATGCTTGGTGATGCAGCTGAGTATGTAAGTTATGCAGTAAGTAACACATGCTCTCTTCCGACCCCTGAATTACATGTTTGCCGGTGTTATTGTTACTCATAAGGAAAAGACATTCTAGCATGATAGAAACACAGTAAAAGCCAAAGTAAAATCTCACTGTTTGTCAGCTAGAGATCCGACAATAGTCCCAAACAACATGGAGGATCCAAAACCAGCAATAAAAAGCTGTCCAATCTCTCCCTTTCCAAAGCCATAGGTGCTGTAAAGATAGTATACATAAGGGCCCTGCAGCCAATCTCCAGCTATTTACACATAAAAGAATAATCAGTCAGACAGAATTGCAATTTTGCCAAAAAAAGAAGAAAACAATAACTCAAAAAAGTTATTATCTTGACAATACAAAGCCAAGTAAATACACTTATAGTCACAATCATATCTCAAAACTCTATTAATGAAAGAAAATGATTATTTGGAAGGGAGAAGTCAAAATTCATTCTTTGTTAACTTGTATTCAAACCACCAGTAAGAATCCACTTAACATGAACCTGTTTGTTACATCATTCTAAATTTTAAAAAAGGAAAAAAAAAAAAAAAATGAACACAAAGATTCATTTACAATTGTGGTGCAAGCACAACTATGATTCAGTTGAATCCCACAGTAGTATCTTCTAAAGAGATCAAAGGGCTTCTTCTAAGCTGTTTCGTATAGCGATTTGAAATTACTAGATAAAAGGAAACAGCTAACCACTAATAAACAAACCAAGAAACGCCATTCCAATCAATCAAAAACACACAGCAACCACAATTAAAACGAAATCGATAGAAAATGCACGCACAGGAAGCAGATCAGATCCAAACACACACAAAAGGAGCATATGAATCAACTAGATCCGAACTCGATCTCTAGTATTGAAAATGGAGTTAGATCTGGATTGAATTAGTACCCATCATGAGAGAGTAAACAAAGAGGTAATTGTGCTTGAAGGCATTGAAAGCAGGAGAGGTGTTGATTCGATCCTTGTTGTTCTTGCTGAGCTCGAGAACTCCCACCACGGCGGCGAGGCCGCCGAACATCAGGATGTAGAACAGCTCCATTGTCGCCGGCGACGTCTCCGGTTGCACTGAGATTTCACTTTCGTCGGAGATATATATATAAAGGCAAAATGGCCAATGCACCCTCTTCAGAGTGTGATTCTAATTCCACTGCGGAAGCGTACGCAGAAAAATAGATAAAGGATAAAACAAAATAATCCTATTTAAAAAAAAAGCTTGGAGGTGATAGAGTTTTTATCCCCTGCGAAGCGTTTCTCAGTTGATTTTTGTAAGTCTGAGAAAAAGTGCCTATAAAATATATATATAATTTATCTTTTTTTTTAATTTAAAGATATGAATCTTTTAAATTCAAAAATTAGATGATAAAGTTTTATTTTTTATAAATTAATAATATTTTAATTACAATAT